GTATCAACCCCTTTATTTTAAACAACAGATATTGTTTAAAATATCAAGTGTACTCAAAATTCCTATCTGGCTAGAGCTGTGAATGTGCAAGAGACATTATTTATTTTCCTCTTTATAAAATGACTGTATAGATGAGTTATCTTGTACTTGGAAGTAATGATTTTTAGAATTACATGTCAACAGAGGATACTGTTTAGATTATTTGACTTGCTTCTGTGCTTTAAATTATGAGAAACTAGGTGCTTTAACATTATTTAATGAGCTTAAATAAGAGACCCATATGTAATATTTTGTGATTACCTGAAAGTGTCATCATCAAATTTAAACTTTCCGTATGCTAATAGTAAACCTACCAGTCAGTGAAACCCTAAAGTATTTTTTATAATGTTCTTCATTGAACAAGTATCATTTTAGTCTGAGTCAATTCTGAATTTCAGGTTATTTAAGCTGCTTTAGCACAACATTGTTCTTTCTGGTCACTGACTGCAGTGGCTGATTTAGATTTTATTAAGAGGATGCACAGGAGGAGGACTGAGCTAAGAATTAAATACTGGTTGAACACACTGAACAACCTGTTCCCAAAATGAATGTGACTGCATAGGAATGAGTTAAGGCTAAATATAGTGATGTAAATAGTCTGTGATCTGAAATTTGTCCTTTAGTAGCAGTGCATTTTAGCTACACAACTAGAGAGAAGTGCTCCATGCAAATTGGCTGCGGCTCCTGTCTAAACACAGGCAGTCTAGGTTGTAACGTCTCTACTTATTTACAAGTCTGTAAATTACTCTGTGAAGGACAAGTCCCATTAAACTGTTGTCAGAAAGCTAGTGGAGTAGCATCAGCATTGCATTATCCACAAATCAATTCATCATCACCATTGATCAACCTTGACAGTGGTTTCTTTGTTATTAATAAGGTAGGGCATTTGTTTTTGTTTTCAGTACTTCCTTGCAACTGTCCTGGTAAATTTTTAATCTATCACTCAAACTGTGTTAGTTTCTGATAACTATGGCATCTTAATTGGGACTTTTTCTATTAACAGTGCCTTGATCTTTCTTATCTGTCCCATTTTGAACATGTTTTGAAGAAACCATGTTTTGACTGTTAGGGTGGAAACTGGGGGGAATTAATTCCAGATTTGAAGTAGAATTGGCAAGTCAAATTAGAGATTAATTTCCTTCATCCAAGCTGCTGACCATATAAATCAGCTTGTTGAAGTGGCTCGTGCAGACTGTCTTGCCTCATTAGCACAGGTGACTTTGTGCTTTCTACACTTGGAGGGAGGGAGGGGAGGGGAGGGAAGCCAGCCAGTATCTCGTAGGCTTCTTGGACACAGACAAATGGGTTCCTTCTGTCCCCTTACTAAGAAGGGAGACAATTACTACTGTGTCCCTGATAATGCTGCTGTTTATCTTGCCTTTCTAGACCTCTCTTCTTTCCCAATGACCCATAGATCTGGGTTGTTTTCCAAAACTAGCTCTAGGCTAGTGGTTCTCTCCACATTTTTTCCATACCAACATACTATAAGAAAGATGGTCAAGATGCAGGATGATGTCCAGAGAGGGGCAAGGAAGCTGAGCACATGTCTTATGAGGAGCGACTGAAGGAACTGGGATGGTTCAGTTTGGAGAAGTGAAGACTCGAGGGAGACCTTATCACTCTTTACAGCTTCCTGAAATGAGGCTGTAGTGTTTTTAGGGTCTACCTCTTCTCCCACTTGACAGCAGTAGGATGAGAGGGAATGACCTCAAGTTGTGCCAGGGGAGGTTCAAGTTGGATATTTGGAAAAATTTCTTCTCAGAAAGGGTGGTGAGGTGTTGGAACAGGCTGTGCAAGGAGTCACCATCCCTGGAGGTGTTCAAGAACAGGATAGATGTGACACTGAGGGACATGGCTAGTGGTCATGGTGGTGATGGGCTGATGGATGATCTTAGAGATCTTTTCTAGCCTTAGCGATTCTGTGATTCACTGACATTGGGCCATGCTACATTTAAAACAAAAGCAAACAGTAACAAAACACAAACAAACAGAGTAATTAAGAAAGAAAGAAAAAAAAGCCTCTTTCCCTCTTACCTTTTCTTCCTCACTCACTTTTTCTGTGCCCTTGGCATAACTCTCAATCACGCTGCAGTGAGATGCCTAGCTTTCTGCTGATAGATTCAAGGGGCAGTAGTCACTGATTCACAAAACTGTTCTGTAGAACAGCACTCAAAATGTCTGGTATCTGTTAATTAAAACTTACCTGCAGTATTTTTTTTTCTTACTTTAATAAGCTTTTCTTGTTTGTGTTCACAAGTATCTCCCTTGGACCTGATTGTGTTTCAACTACAAAATACAAAGTTTGCCTGTTCATTAGTCTCTGCAGGAAACTCTGAGCACCTCATATACTCATTTTTTTAATTTATTTTTCCCCAAGCTAATTTAGTAATATTAATGGTGTTTCGTACAAGTACATTTAGGAGTATGTATCTCATAGGAATGTGTTGTATGTATTGTTATTGACTGTTGGGCTTGCAACTGGTAGCTCTACATAACAAATATTCCTAGAGCTTAATCCAGGGGAAACATTAAGCCTGCTGCTACTTTTTTTGATCTTTTGAGAATTTCAGGGCTGGAAAGAACTGTGAAAAGTTCAAAGTACAGTTGTTTCATTCCATAATGGAATTGCATATAAACCACATAGCAACATTATACATCTCTGATAGAAGCACTTCCACTGTACTTGCACTGTTCACAAGGAGTACCTCTGGCTTACGAGGAATGTAGTGATCTGCCTGAAATAAGTAAGACAAAAAACTTGCAGTGGAGTAACTGCAAGGAAAGAAGTTACTGGTGCCTGTCTCTGGAACAGCTGTTTTAAGCACAAGTGATGAATCCTAGGGTTTATCTGCATTGCACAGAAGTCAAAGCACCTCATCAGAGTTATCTGTCACTTGTGGCCAGTCTCTTCATTGGGAGATCATGTAGGATATTCCTTTACAATGTTAAACTATGCAGCTTCTATGATATGAGAAAGTTGTAGGCATGTTTACTTATTAGCTGTGTTAGCATTGCAGCAGAGGATTCTGATCGCTCTGAATTATGATTTGCAAATGCTTTTCTAACACACACACAGAAAAAGCTGAATATGTTCTATTCTTCTGGCAGGCTTAAGGAAACTTGAGCGTACATGAATATAGCAAATATACACATTTTTACACTTAAGGTAGTAATGGTTCCAGGCTTCACTGGCATACTAGAGGTTGAGTCATTCCAAATTTTTACAGAATCACAGAATTGCAGGGGTTAGAAGGGATCTCAAGAAATCATCGAGGCCAACCCCCCTGCTAAAGTCAGTACCCTACAGTAGGTTGCATAGGTAGGTGTCCAAATGGGTCTTGAATATCTCCGTAGAAGGAGATTCCATAACTTCTTTGGGCAGCCTGTTCCAGTGCTCTGTCACCCTTACTGTGAAGAATGTACGGAAATTCCTGTGTTCAAGTTTTAGGCCATTATTCCCTCTCCTATCCCTGTGCTACACTGAGAAGAGTCTGACCTCATCCATTTGTCTCCCATCTCCCTCTAGACATTTATAAACATTTATCAGATCCTCTCTCAGTCTTCTTTTCCCCAGGCTGAACAGACCCTCGTGTTTTCCTCATATTTCAAATAGAATTTGAATCATCTGCTGTAATTCTGGAAGAATCCTTCTTAACTGTTCAATTAGGTGGAAGGCTTGTTAGTTTGAACCTTAATCTAATTTATTTAAAATATGTATGACCTTTTCAAAGACTCACACCCACCTCCAATCCAAGTAAGAGGATATTTCCTTTAAGTCCTTTGGTACTGAAGCTGCCAGCATCTAAAGATCTAGCTCAAGGTGTTCTCCCTGCGCTCACTTATCAGGGAGTCACAGAGTAAATTTAAAAAATGAGAAGATGTCCCAGAAGAGGCTCTTTCTGCATCTGCTTTCTACATAGAAAGAAGCACAATAGAATAGAGTCTTTCTTTCTTCCTTTGTTCTCTGTCCTATGTTTTCTGTTAGGATCACTTAATTTTATTACTCTTGTTTGTAAAAGTAAGATCCAGCACTAAAACATTTAGGAAACACTGCATTGTCTGCACTGCAGGCCATTAAATCTTTGCAAATCAGCCCTGCAATATCATCCTTTTCAATACATTATTATCTTTTTTGCATGGCAGGATGCTCTAATTGCAAACTGTCTAGATGAGATCCCACAAGTGCATTGTAAAACCACTACAAAGCGTAATTGGATGAGTCTTAAGCATTCTTGGCAGTAGTCAGTCTTTTCTACCTCAGTGGCTTGTGAAAGTATTAAAGGAAAGGATGATTTCGATGTGTGTAAGAGAAAGTACTGGCTACTTATTTTTACAGCGAGGAAAATCATTTTGTGGATGGAGGAGAGGAAGGGAATCTTCAGCAATAAAAATGACAGAACAAATCCGTTAATGACCTAAAAAAAATGCCTTATGTTTTAGCAGCTTCACTGGATTGTCTGCCAGTAGCCAAGCATTAAACTAACACTCTTAATAAATTCCTTTTTTCTTTGTTTTCGAAAGAATACAAATTTTAAATATATCTTCTGCTCCTGCCCAACTAAAGCAAAACAGATGTCATGTGCATACCCATCTAAATTAGACTCCTGGCCATTTCTTAACTTTCTTTCAAATGTGTTAATGCAAACAAAGGAGGCAGCACTCCACATAAGAGTGCAATACTTCACTGGATTTTAATTCTTGGATGAAATATGTGCAGCCTGCTGCACAGACTGTCAGTGTCTCAAGTCAAACTTGCTTCTATCCAAGGTGACCATTGTGTTCATCTCCCATGCCAAGTGACTGGTTCCCAAACTTAGCTTTTCTTTAGAAAGCCATGAATGGCCATCCCTGCATTTGAACACGTGGCTGGAAGAGTTTGGTAGGACCATTTGCATTGGAAGTTCTGGACCAGATTTAGTAACTGCTAGAGGATTATCTGCTTGTTGACTGTTGGTTCAGGCATGTTCCAAAATGGTGATGCCCATCAGTTTGTGGGCTGCTGCACTATTAAGAAGGTAAATGTAATAGACATTCTTTTTTTTTTTTTTTTTAATGGTTATTGGTTTGGAATTTTCTTATTTTCACATTCCTTCTTCAAAATAAAGTCAGCATAGCATGGGGAAGTTCAGATCTCTACAGTATCAGAAAATGAGCGCTGAAAAAAAACCACTGGTGCCAGAAGGAAGACAAAGAAAGCACCCAACTTCATGTAAGCCTGGTATTATAAAACATTAAAATCCTTTCCCAGCATTTCAGAATTGTATTAGGTAGTTTTGCTTATTCAACATGTAGCTGAACAGGTAATTTCCCCAAAAACTTTCTATTTAAATGTTTCTCATCAAATGCAAAGCCTGATCCAACTCTTCATTCATCTTACCCTCACAGGTTACTAGCCTAGTTACTCAGGCAAGTGTATAAACAGTTTTTGTTTTTTTTATTTCAGTTGAAACAGCTGGCAGTGGAATAGCTATGCATGCCTTTGAAAATTACTATTATCTGCTATCTGTTCCTATTCTTAAATACAGCGAGTTAGAGTTGGCATTTACTGCAAGCACACAACCCTCATGAAGCTTATAAAAATGTTTATTAGTCACTACTGTTGTATTAACTTTGGGAAATGTATTTGAATAAGAAGGGAAAGTGGAGAGGGGAAGCAAATAACAGTATTTTGCCTACTTAGATAGTTTTTTTCCCCCCTCAGTACTTCCATTGTTTTTCCCGAGGTCCTTTTTTTTCCCTTGTTTGGGGCTCTTTTTTCCCCGATTCTTCTTTTGCCTAATCTTGCTGAGAGGGAGCCTCTTTCGAGTGACTCCCACAGTGCACGTTGTCCCTTTAGGGTGTTTCCTGAGTTTTCCCTGAATAGTTCTGCCCATCTTTCTATGAAGTCTTCTAATCCTTTGAAAAATCCTTCAGTAGTGGTTCCTACAGCTGCATTCACAGTTTCTGAGGCTGAAATACAGTCCTCTTCTGATATCTCCTCAGGTTGGTCCTGTACCACAGGTGGGCTGTTTGAAATGGAATGAAATCATGCCACCCATCTTTCAGTCTTTATTCTTCCATCCTGGCTTAGTGGAACCAAAGTATCTTCCATTAGCTTTGGATGACAGACTTAATTCAGGAAGTTGAACTCTCCCTTTGAAGAATTGGGCTGATTTTAGCAGCTTTAGTTTGAAATTCTGGTTGTTAAGTGTCTTTGTACTGAAATGTCCTCAGAAATAGACTGCTAAACTAGGATTACATAGCATTGGAAGTCATTATGTACTTCTGCCTTCTCCTGAATTTTCTCTGCATTGGGGTACCGCAATCCAGTCACAGTTTTGGGGGACTGTCTTCTGTTTTATAAAATACCCCAGATCTGCGCTGATTAATTTAAGAACTTTGATTACGTTGTTCCTGTCTCTGCTGAGCCCGGTATTGAGTGCTCAGTTTCTCTGTAGCCCATATTTTTCATTTTCATCTTTTAAAGTTACTTATAAGGTCAAAAAATTCAAATAGTTTGTAGGTCTGTAGTTCTACGGTAGCATTTGTAAGTCGCCGTTGTTATCCCCTCTCTTAGTACCTGCACTACCATCTGTTATTATACATCAACCACACACCTGAACTCCTTCTATCCTAGAGCAAAAGGGATAGATCTCTAAGCACACGTGTTTCTTCTGTTTAAATAATGAAATATTAAATCACAAAAATTAGATGATATGAGGAAGATCAGATCAGGCCAAACTGAAAGAACTGTTATCCTTTTGCAACTCTGAAAACATTTACACAGGAGAGCTCCCTTAGATGTACAGGTCCTTCATGGCTCTCTTCTTTTATTGCTTTCACCAGTACAAAAAATCATTTTACTTCATTCAGTGAAAGCAAATGTCTGCAGCTTGTCTTGGCTTGTGGCAGTACCCAATGGCCTTACCCCCCAGATTAGTTTTTCTCGTTGGAAATTAATAAGTGTTAAGATAGGCTAACTTTTCTTCAAACTGACAGTTTTTTCTATAGGCTTTATGTCAAACTGGAATTCAAGTTGTGTTGAATGCATTACCATTTCTTACGTTATTTCTCTGAATTGTTAACAGCTTTATTTGAGTTGGTCTGTGAACTTTCCTATCCTCTGAAAACCACACTTAGGGTCTGCTAGTCCACAAATCAACTTTCCAATAAATGTTTAATCACTTTATGGCAGAAGAATCTTTCTGTGTGGGTTTCCAAAAAAGTTAGGCCTATGAAATCAGATGGTCTGTGTCCATCTGTCTATCTGGTGTTTCCTATGGGATATTTAAAAACATATTGACCAATATCCTCCCTTTCAGAAATGCTAAGAAACAGGCAGTTTATTGTTGTCCCAGTGCTGCAGGCTTGCCTGCAGAAAGGACTCAAAAGTGTACAAGCCATAGTAAACACAATAGAATCCACTCAAGAAGAGAGAACAAGAATAGTTAAGATGCAAGAATGTCTTCAGTCGACTTGCATGATAATTTGGAGAATTTGACCGCAAAACACAGACTTGAGCTTTGCTGTTCCTGCAGTTTGTGGATTTCATGGAAGCTGGCGACACTAGAAGAAATGTTTGGGAGGAAAGTCTCATCTTCTTACATTCTTGGCAGGGTCACTAGTTGATGTTTAGTTAATTGGTGACATTAATGTTGATGTTTAAATAAGTCAGATGGAATAAGCTTTGAAAACACTTATTTTTGCTCTATTGGCTGTGACTGCAGCTAGCTGAGGTTCTGTATGGCAAACGCTTTATCTGCATGCAGTCCAATGTTTGCATCTTCCGTGACCTACCCATAGGGATCAGGAAGAGGGACTGTTTGGAGGGGGGTCAGCTGTCACTCTGCCCTATCTAAAGGCACTGATGTCACCTATTCAGGAGCCTTCATTTGGTTCCCTACTACCAGCACTGGCTGTGCAGCCGCTGGGGGGCAGGGATTCCAGCTCACAGTGGTAAAAGCAGGTTCACTCAACAGTTGTCTCAGTTGGCTCAGTTTAGAAAGCTGTTAGCAGCACTGTAATTCAACCAGTGCTATCATGGAGGGTAAAGGTATGGAGTAGGCTGGCCATCCCTGTTGGGAATATTGGCATCCCCCTGTGTCTTGAAAGATTTAGTATAAGCTATTTATTTTTGTAGGAAGACCTGCTATGCATTGCCAAGTATGTATGTATTACAGTAATTAGCTCAGCCTGTTGCTAAAGTAGATGTATTGATCAAGTGGTTCAAAATAGGGTTTGTAGTACTTAAGGCACCTTGCTTGCACACCACTGTCTGTGCCACTGTTGGAATGTGATAGGGCTTGGCTGTGCTGTGGCTGCATTTTAAGATCTGTTTTTTTCCATGTTTGCAGGATTTCATGCTCCCACCTCCAGAGACACAGAGGAAAGCAGCGCAGAACAGGCACATTTCTCCTGAACTTGGTAGGCAGGAGGTGGCCATGATGGACAGTCGGCAATGGCAGGGTAAGGCTGACCCTTTTGGTGCAGTAGCTGTCTCCTTGGTGAGTAGACTCTCTGACCAGCAGAAGATCAGCAAGTCACCCTTCAGCCAGTTCAAAGAGGTATATTTGTCCCCTGTACTGCACCCTTTGAACAAGACTTTGGTTACGGGCGACCAGTGGAAGGATGTTGATAGCATCCAGGAAAAGCGCAGGTCCTTCCTATATGAGTTCTGCAAGAAATACAACAGTATGAAGAAGTTGAGAACTCACCTGGTGCACGTGGTGTCAAGAATTTACGTGGAGGACAGGCACAAGGTCCTGTACTGCGAGGTGCCAAAAGCAGGCTGCTCCAATTGGAAAAGGGTCCTCATGGTGCTCAATGGACTTGCCACTTCGGTACACAATATTTCCCATGATGATGTGCACTATGGAAAGCACCTAAGGAAACTGGACAGTTATGACCTAAAAGGAATATACACACGTTTGAACACATACACCAAGACTATATTTGTACGTGATCCTTTGGAAAGACTGGTATCTGCCTTCAGGGATAAGTTTGAACATCCAAATAGTTATTACCATCCAGTGTTTGGGAAGGCAATAATTAAGAAGTATAGACATAATGCAAATGAGGAAGCATTGGAAACAGGATCAGGAGTTAAGTTCAAGGAGTTTATCCAGTATCTTTTAGATTCCCATCGTCCAGTAGGAATGGACATTCACTGGGAGCAAGTCAGTAAGCTCTGCTATCCCTGCCTCATCAACTATGATTTTATAGGAAAGTTTGAGACTCTGGAAGAAGATGCCAATTACTTTTTGCAGCTGGTAGGTGCTCCAGCTGAGCTAAAGTTTCCTAGATTCAAAGACAGACATTCCTCTGATGAGAGAACAAGTGCAGAAGTAGTGAGGCAATACTTAAAGGAATTGTCTAAGGAGGAGAGACGGCTGACCTACGACTTCTATTACTTGGATTATTTAATGTTCAATTATACATCACCAATTGTATAGCATTGGGATAGCTTCAGGCTTCTATTAGATATTTATCATGTTGGGATTCAGAACAACTACTTTGATGCTACCCCTGAAAGGAAACAGAGTAGCTGCTAAGTGGAGCTGTGTTGACTTAGTGCAGGTTTTATAAACTAAAGTGACATAAAGTTACAAGAAAAAGCACCAAAAAAGAAAGACCCATAAACAGCATAAATTGCAGTGAAATGCCTGAAAAAGCTGCTTTTACCATTATTGTGGAAGAGGTAGCACAGCCAGATGTTACATTAGCTTACCTGAAGTTCTTTTAACGGTTAAGAAAAAATCATTTGGAGTAGCATGATTCCTTTTGGTGTGTCTGCTTCATAAATTGGTTTTGAAACTATTTTTTTGAATGTATTTTTTACTTTCTGTCTCTTATTAATAAAGAAGCATTGGCTAATTTTCTAAAGATGTTTGCAGCATTCTCAGTTGTATGAGTTGGCTGTTTGATTACCATTAGACTCTAGCTGCTTTTAGATCTGAGTGTTTGATATTGGAGGATGGTCATGAGTACAGATGTGTAACACTGCAAATGACACAGCAACTCAGCTGTTGAGCAGAATAAGTTTGGATAAGCCTGCAACCTGAAATCACTGTCCACTACCCTATTTTGACTGATGTACTATAGATAATGCATAACCCTCCTTTCAGAGAATTGATGTGTGTGTGGAAATTAACATTTTAATTTTACACTGGAATCAACCAAATGATGAATACTGTGGCACCAGTATTTAAAATAGTCTTCATATTTAGCGTTAAGGCAAATTCTTAGAGTGGTGGCTATGGGACATGGCAGTGTCTGTATCAAGAAGCAGTTTCATTGCAACTGCTGTGATTGCTCGTGGTCTGTCAGTTTCCGATCATCAGCCCAAGCCCTGGCAATTTATTGCACAAATAGGACCAGGATGTCCCAGGAAGAGAAGAAATCTCTACAAAATGGATAGAGGGAAATCAGGGGACAAGTAAGTGAAATATCCTTTTCCTTTGTTCCCAAAAACTGTTCATGACCAGAACTGTTGCCGTCCTTTCCTTTATCTCGTGTGTATATATGGCATTATTCCTTCCACAGGAGTAATTATGGGTTCCTGTGACCCACAGGGAGAGAGACCATTTTCCTCACATACCCTCATTGCTTGTTTCTCCCTTAGTTTTCTCCCCAGAAGAGGAGAAAATCTATTTACTTCCTTTATGGTACTGGTGCATAGCCCAGCAGGCTCTTCCCATCTCTTCTTAAGGCAGGATGAACTGCTCTGAGAAGAAAAGATAAGAGCAGACTGGGCAGCCAAAGGCAGAGATGGTACCAGATGGGAATACTGGCACCCGTGGCAAAGCCAGCCCATTCCCTGGGCTGTGGAGCAAAGACAAGAATGAAAAAGCCCACAGGCCATCAGCAGCAGGAGGCTTGGAGGGGTGCAGATGTTCAGCACCAACAAGGAGGTACATGGATGCCTTAGGGAAGTGAGCACAGTACTGCTTTGTGACCCATCATCGTGCATAGATAGACCAGGGGTATTAACACCAGAAGTGTTTGGGATGGGACTGTCCAGATGCCTTTCTTCAGGTAAGTGCCTCAAATTCTGGTTGCTTCTCTCTTGCTATGAAGTGAGTTCTTCCGTGTCATCAGGGAAGTTGAATAAAAAATGAATGTACACCAACCTTTTGATTTCCATATATTTGTTTTGTCTTGTCTGCTGTAGGTGTTTGTTAATTAATTATTAATTTACAGACAAAAAAGGAAAGGTTTATATACCAATTTGTTCCCCAAATCATATGCAAATGAAAAGTTTAGCATGCTAATAAAGAATGGAGATGAATTAATGCATGTTTTGAATTATTTTTTTAATAAAGAGAAATACATATTAGTACATTACAAAGCACAAGGTCTTTGGAGACTTAATGTTGAGCTTGCCTCAGTGATAAGCTTTCAGCCTATCTGACCAGAGAATGAAAGAGATTTGGGAGTGGAGAGGGATGTAATTGTATTGAAAAAGCTGTACAGTTTCATAAGATTTCATCTACTAGCTGTTCTCAGATAAAGCCATTGTTTGAGTTGAGAGGGTGAAAGAAGTTATTAGCAAATATTTGGTTTCTGCAAATGAGAGGGAAAATGACACTGATTTGCAAGCATCCATGGACATAGGCACCAAGTCCCTGGGCTGTCATCTTGAAAATCTGGTATGGTTTGCATTTGTGATTTAAAAAGGGAGGATGCTACTTAAGGCTTCTGAAGTGTGTGTGCACAGAAGTGAAATGATTTTAGCTGCACTGTTGTTCTATGGCTCTAGTGAAAGTAATTCAACTTCTTTGTATGCTCAACTTAAAATTTCATAGCCCCTCACTGCACTTAAAAATTCATTTTTTGAAAATCTAACCCTGACTTTTGCAAAGAAGAGCCTCTCCACAGTCATCTTCAGTGACCTAAGGGATTCAGATGATCTCAGTAGCAGAATCTAGATTGTACTTTGCCTCATTAACCACATTTTGAAAATCACCAGCCTGCTTTGCCAGGAATTAAGTTACATGATTTAAAATTAACATAAGAGTTTAGCATAATTGAAGTGGGACTGTGATATCTGACTTGTGGGATTATACAAGATGAAGGCATAATTTGCAGCATAAAAGATAACCTCTATTTTTAAAAGTAAATTTTAAAAGGTCAAAGTGTGAGAATGAGTTGTAGCTTAGCTTATATTTTGTGAGAGAGTGAGGCAAAAAACAAAAGCTGAAGGTCATCCATTGTAACTACATAAAATCCCATCTCCAGTACTATGCACAAATGTTTTACTCGGAAAAAGAATGTATGCAAAAGCAGAATGAGATTACACTCCACAACATTCAGTGCAATTGCATATACAGTAAAGAACTTGTTTTATGGGACTCGATTATACTAAATGCTTTTTAGTTACTAACATCTCTTCATTGGAAGGTCTCACAGATCTTCTATAATGCAGATCAGTTGTAAGGATAAGCTGTGTCCTGTAAAGCCATCAGAGTGAGTCTGTGGCAGGGCTCATGGGGGAGGAGAGCACTCCATTGGCTGTTTGGTCTGTTCTGAACATCACCATTGTGCTTTCCATTTGAAGAAAAAATTTTGGGAAGATAACATTCCATATTTGCTTTTCTTCTTGAGTGAATCAGTATTGATATGAAAATAAACTAGATTTTATAGATGCACCTTCTTCTTTTCTTGCTATTTTTGCCCAAATAAGGTAACTGCATCTCTCCATGTAGGATTTGGCTTGCAGAGCCATCATTCCTGCCTCTTCCAAAGCTGAACTGTTGCTAAGTGGCAGTCAGAGGTGTGCAGACACAGTGCAATCAAATGCGGCACAGCCCCCTGAAATGTCCTCTGGTGCAGCTCCCCCAAAAGGCTGAAATTATTGGAGCTACTCTTGCCTCAGGCTGGTCTATCTCAGTGATGGGTCATTGGAGATCACCACTTTAATTTTAAATGTAGTTTAAATTTAAATGAAAATTACAATATGACACTTTTCAGAAGTCTGAGAGGAAAATATTTTAATAGAGCTCCGTATTGTGTATGTGGGTTATATAAAAAAAGTCTTTGTTGTACATGCCTTCAGGCTAGCAATGCATCAGATAAGTATTTTTAACTGTTATGTTAAAACTAGTTTATCAGCCATGTAACCTGCTGTGATGCTTTCAGAACTAAATGTATCTGGCTTTGGAACCTGATGTCTGAAATCAAGCCATAAACTGTTACACTTCATAAAAAATACAGATGTACTTGTCCTGTATCTATAAATTCATTTATAGTCCAGAGACAGGGGTAGGGATGCTTAGTAATAGGAAATGTAACTGACTTAGCAAAGGAAAGCTGCCCATAGCCATGTATACATGCAACTGATCTGCCATCTGAAATGTTGGTCTGGGGAACAGGAAGCTCAGGTGGAGACCTTGTTGCTTTCTACAGTTATCTGAAAGGAGGTGGTAGCGAGATAGTGGTTGGCCTCTTCTTCCAGGTAACAGCAATAGAATGAGAGGTAATGGCCTGAAGTTGCTCCAGGGGAGGTTCAGGTTGGGTATTAGAAGAAATTTCTTCTCACAAATAGCGGTGAGGCAGTGGCACAGGCTGCCCAGGGAGGTGGTACAGTCATCATCACTGGAGGTGTTCACAAACTGTGTGGATGTGGCAGTGAGGGACGTGGGTTAGTGGGCAGAGTGGGTGTGGACTGATGGTTGGACTATGTGATTTTAGAGGTCTTTTCCAACCTTAATGAATCTATGATCATATGATTTTCTATTTAGTTTATTGAGAATGTTTTCAGTGAAATTAGGTGTTCATAAATGTATCCGATTGAGGAGAGAATGGCTAAGCTCTTTGCTCTGTAGCTAATTGCAGGGATAGATAGCTCAGATGTAGCTCTGCTTATATCTACAATGTCAGGTGTGGACTTCAGACACCTGGATTCTCTCTAAGCTTTGTAACTTCACGTGCTTGTTGAGCAACATGTCCTGTTCTCTGCCTCAGTTTCCCCATTGGCAAAATTAGCCTGTAAAGGATGGTAATTACAACACATGGCTTTCTGCTAAAGGCTTTGTACTCTGCGCATAAATAGCTGTGTTTTGAAGTAAGGTCTTAGTATGGAACTTATCTCATAGGATGTTCATGCCCTTTTTTTATATTTTATTTCCAATTGAATGGAAGAAGCCAGGGACTTCCCAGTTTTGTTCCAGCCAAAAACTGCACCATTCAGCTCTGTTCTGTGCAGTTGGCAGCCTTAAGAATGCATGCTCTGTTTCAAAACACTGTGCATCTGTCAAGCCTGCCCAGGCATTGCCTCAGCATAAAACCAGTGCCAGGTTGTCTGACCTGGGGAGAGTGCCCCTCCGGTTCCTTTGTACAGATGAGAGCAGACAGAGACAGGCTGAGAATCTTGTCTTCGTATTATATTCCGAGCCCAGATTTGGTGCCACAGCTCTAAATAAAATGATTATTAACTTGCACACTCTGCAGAAGCAGGAGGGAGATTTAAGTGACATTAATGGATTCCACCCATGAAGGCAAACCCCTGCCTTCTCTAAGACGGCAGAGCTGCATCACCTGGTGCATTACTCTGCTCCTCCTGAGGTCCTGGCAATCCTTGAGATAATCCCTGCTTTCCCAGCTCTCAGGATGTAGCTCCCACTAACAGCCAGTTTCTTGATAGCTGTATGGGAGCTACTGATAAAATGGAGACTGCATTGGTACAGAGTATGTATATTTGTCTTTAGATAGAGATGCAATTAAGAAACCTGATGGAGAAGAAACAGCCTCCTTTCCTTACTAAAGAGACAAAGAAAAAACTATCATCACTTATATATATATGCATACATATATGTTTGTATATATAATTATTGTTTCCTTTACTCT